TTCGTCTATGCAAAATTAAATTGTTAATATGGTTTAAGGAGTAGTGAATAAGAATACAATAAAACTATCAATAAGTTTTGATGGAGACTATGTAATTATAGCAACTGAATAAATGCTAAGCATAGTGAACATCAGATAAGGAATTATATTTTAGTAAGTTTAATCTAGAATACAATAAAAATATTAAAAAGTTCTGTCAGAGTCTATATTAATCATAGCAACTGTATGAATATTAAACATAAGATAACATTAGATAAGGAATTACATTTTAGTAAGTCTAATCCAGACGTAAAGTACTCTCAACTGAAAAGATATCCATCAAAACACGTACATCCAAATAAATAACATTTTTCCTTTATACAAAAAAGTAATTGAATTAAAATTTACTCCCACACGTCTGTGCTTATTTCAAGATTTATAAGCTACAAAACTCAAATATTAAGCAAAGTTTTTAATGTAATAAATATGAGCCAAGAAGGTGAATGAAACTACATTAAAAGACAGACATGCCAGAACACATGGACCCAAAGGCAAGCCCACGACATGAGCACATAAATTATTTAAAAAAATTTGAATTTAAAATGCAAGGATTAAGTTAAAGTGCTTGACTCAATGTCAAGTTTGAATGAATATTTACTTAAGCGAATGTTTGGCAACTTTTGTAAAGATTTCTTGGCCTTAGCAAACACTGGGAAGGTATCCTTGCTGTACGAGTGTTTGTGTTCGTGCAAGGATACTTTGCTTGCTATTTAATTTAGCTTTTTATTTGGTTTTCATTCAGTGGTAAGATGAGAAAAAATAAAGAGCAGATAAATATAAAATGCTCGACAGTGTATTTCTTATCAAATTCTAATCTTCATTTAAGCGCTTTTCAATTATTTTCAAACATATGCTTTATTTACGAAGGACACAAATGCATTAATATACACATAAATAGATACATATGGTGTAGATACATTTAGTATAGATACATATAGTATAGATACATGAGCAAAGGCAAATAAAAGGAAGATTTAAATTTTTTTTTTCGCAGACTGACAAGTGAAAATCTTGCGGTTGATTCATTTAAAATTGATTACACACGCCCATAAAAATGCAAAATGAATATTTGAAGTATTTATGGCGGCGCGTTTACGATTTTAACCAATTTGAAGGCAGCTCTCAAGTAAAGTAAAGTGAAATTATTTCCTCTTTGGCATGTCTTGAGATACTCAGAGATGCCCGGATACTCAGATTCTCGTATTTAAGGATATTTGCTATACTTTTGTTGCATTTAAATTGCGTACGACACGCGTTACTCATTTTCAAGTGATTTTGTTTCAATTTTACGATTTTCGTAATAAAATGAAAATGAAGATTCGAGTAAATTTAAGCAGGTGGGCGGTAGTGGGCTTGAAGCTCGCTGCAAGAGTGTTTAACGGATTTTAAGCACGTTTTAAAATTCTATCAATTATTTTTTACAGTTTATAGCCTACACAAACATTAAATGTCTAAAAAAATATATATCAAAATTTAACAGGTTTTGTCTTCTATTCACTCTTACTACACCATCATCTCCAGCTCCTGATCCACCACTACCTTTAACTCATGTTCAGTAATGAAAAGGATGTTATTACCTGCGTATGAAGCTAAAGATAGAAACTGAATTGTAATTTGGATATAAGTAACGTCTGCCACATAAAAGGCAATCAAAAACAAAAGATACAAAAATGTTTAGAGAATAAAATGAGCAATAAAAGCTAATAAAAAACTCAATTTTAATCATATTTACGTAAAATAATGACAAAGCTATGGGAAGTAGCGGTAAGTATAGCGCAGCACAGAAGCCTTTAAAAATTAAGTACTACTAAAAAGTTGAAATTACTTTTAAAATCCTATATAGGTTTTTGTTTTTACGATACTTAATATCAACAGATTTTGCTCTAATTTAAATAAACATTTCAATTTTACTGCCACAACGTAAAAAATCATATCGTAACATTGCACTCGTTAAAGTAAAACATACCAAATTCATTCCTTCCAGCCTTACATCTATAAGGACTTCATTTCTTTCACTGCGACCCACGCAACAACCCACAAATTTACTCATCTTCTTTTTTGTATTTTTTCTTTTATTTTTTTTTTATTCTTTTTCTACTATATTTCATATTTTGCTTATGATATAATTTATGCTAATCATAGTCATATACAGCACTTGCCTCTGGCTGACCCAGCGCTACATAATCATAACCCAATACATAAGAGCACACAAGCCCTCATATTCACACATATCCCTCAACAGTTAGAGGTCCCACATAGGAACCATACATGAACGAATGCGTATGTCTCGTTTCATTTTACTTTGATTACCCTACAGCCTACGGCGTAGATTTGCTGGCATCAAAATGACATTAATAAAAAAATTGAAAAGAGGAAGGAATAAATAAAGGAAAATACTTCTAAAAAAATACAGAAAAAAAAATTGCAAAACGAAATCCTTTGTCTTTGGTATTCTCGCTCAATGCCATCTAAGTCCAGCCATCTTGGGTTGAGTGTATAAATAATCTACACACATGACCGCATCAAAAGGATGCAAAGAAAACACAACTGTAAAGAAATCTGCTTTGAATTTTTTGCGGTTAAAGATACTAACTGACCACTTATATTTCTTTACAAATGTTGCCTCTGTGTTAGTTAACGTATATGCGTACATGTGTATATGTGTAGGCATATAACATAAAGTATATATCTTTGTCTGTAGAAGTATCTTTTCACTACACTTATGGTTTTATTTCAATGGATTATGACAGAACGTCACATAAATATTATTTCAATTTACGAGTTGTTGGTTTGATGCATGAATTGCAAAAACAATGACAAACAAGCAAGCAGGAAGGAAGTACTTATATGTTTTATGAAAAGGACTATTATTGTCCTGGTAACCATTTAAGTTTAATATACTTGCACGATTATAATATTTAAATTTTTATTTGAATATAAATCATAATAATTCATAAATAGCTTAGCAGAGTAAATTAGATTAAGTAGAGAGTAAGGAATGAATAATGAAGCATATCCTGAAATTTAATACACCGCATGACTTTTGTCTTTGGGATTATACTCGAAGGCGACTCGAAAAGTATCCTACGACAATTTAAATGGAAATCATATCAGATAAACATTATTATAATTTATAACAATGAATTTGTATGATTTTAGTACTAATTTGGTTAATAATTTATAGTATTGAGAGTAGTATTCAACAACTTAAACTTTAAACTAAACTTAATTAAAGATTAATTTATACTTTAATGTGGAAACATTAAACGTTTCCCAAACAAATAATAAAGATGTAGCTACTTTGTAGTAGGAGAAAAAGGAAAAGAACTTTGCAAAAATCTGATGCATCTTGAGAATATTTCTTTTATTTTTCCAGTCACTATTATTATAATGACTAACTATAATAAAATGTGTCAAAATATCTCAACTAATTTAATCATATAGTGACAGAGTGCTAAGTGATTGAAAACTATATGACGGTAAAGTTGTCCAAAACACTTTTAATATAAAATTAAAGAAAGTTTAATATATCTTGAGACACAATTCTAGAAATGTATGTCATTCGCATCTATATACAGGGTTAAGCGATTGAAAGTGTTAACAAATATACACAGGTATATCTGTCAAACTGATATTGCTAACTACGTGAAACTATTATGAATGACAGCTGTTTAACAAAAGTTATTCTAAATGAAATTCAAAGGTACTAGTGTGATTGCGTATATTTGGCTGGAAAATCACAATCACAACCAACTATTATTCGTGAGCTCAAACACCTTAAAGTGTATAAAATGTTTGTTTATCGTACCATAAATCGTTATAATAGTACAGGAAGCGTCGCTAAGCGCAATGGAAGTGGACGAAAAAAAACTGCAACAACAACATAACCTGAAATGGTCATCAAAGTGAAGAATCGACTTGAACGAAATCTATATCGTATTGGTAATCAAATGGTTAAAAAACTGAAAATATTCCAGAGAAGCATCTGACGCATATTCCAAAATAAGCTCAAGGCAAAACCTTACAAGTTCCAAAAGGCACACCATCTTACACCAAAGTAACAAAAACTTAGACTCTAAAGAGCAAATGAGTTGTTATGCTTGCACTAATTTGGTGAATTTCCAAATATTGTTTTTTTTGATTAAAAAAATGTTCTCGTTGAACAATACATAAACTTTCAAGATAATCGTATTTACTTAACTGAAACCACTGGCGAAAACTTGAGACCACGAATGGCCACCCGAACTAATTTTCCATCTCTAGTAATGGTATGGGCAGCTGTGAACGCCTATGGACGCTCTCCAATCGTTTTCATCGCGCCTGGTGTCGAAGTTAATGCGATTTAATATCGGTCAATTGTTTTGGAACTTGCTTTAGAGCCGTGGGCATGCAAACACTTCGGTTCTAGACTACGCACTGTCTCATAAAGCTCATGTGAACCATGAATGGTTAAAAAATCATGTTTCATACTTCATTCCGTCCACACAATAGGTTTCGAAGTCTCCAGATGCAAATTGATTATGAACTAATCCATCTGGGCTATTTTGGAGAGTAAGGTGAAGACCAAAAAATATGTCAGTATGAATGCGCTGAAGAATGGGCCATACCGGAATATTGGAAGATCACATTCATAAAGCATGCAACTCATTTTTTAACCTTTTGAAGGTCATAGTCAAGGCAAATGGTGGGCACATTGAGCTAGAGTCAATGGATTCTGAAATTTTGATTAATTTTACAAATTTTTGTAATATCAAATTTAATCGCTAATCCCTGTTATTTAGCTATTTAGTATATCTACATTTGGAAAACTAGTATTCAGGAACAACATTAAGAAAATAGAATTTATATTACTCAGACACATCTCATTCAAGTGTTCTTAAAATGAACGTTTTTGTTAATGAACTCATTAACTTGATATATAATTTGATATATAATTTTCCCCAATATTCTTATAAACTTACCAGTATTTTCAACTTCACATGGCAGTACTATTGTATCGCCAGCGACGAACTTGAATGTTTCAGAACGTGATATGAACATGGGCTCATGTTTGCTCAATAGACTAGTGGATGCCGAAACTGCAAATAGACAAATAAAAAAAATTGAATAAATATTAATATAACAATTAAATAAAATTTATAAAAATTGTTTTTAAATCATTTTGGCCACAAGAATTGGAACATGTAAATGTGAGCTCACTTCACCATTACGAGTTTTGTAAAACAAATTTATTTGAATTTAATTTGATTATTGTTTGAATATGTTGAAATAGTTTGCCCTTAGCTCAGCTCAGATGCAAATTTCTCTATTAAATTGTTTAAAAATATTACAAAATAATAAACAAATATGCATTTCATATGTAAATAAATTACTGGGTTAGTGTATTTTGGATTATACTGTGTGTACTTAAACGAAACCGATACATAAAATTATGCCTCAGCAGGCAATATAAATATTAATGCAATTCAAAATGGAAATTTACTAAATATTGTAATAGAAATAACACAAATAATAGAATTTATTATACCGAACAAAAATAAATAAATTAAAAATACAATAATTCCATGCAAATCTTCATACATGGATTTGCATTCAGAAATATTTATATGTGTAGAATTATAATATCTGAGAAATAAGTAACTATTCTAAGAATTTTATGAGCCAAGAAAACTTAAATGAACTTGTGTATGTGTGTGTCTTTTGTGATAAATTATGGCCTGGTTCACTTAAAGCAGTAAACTGCATTCGAAATATATTACATTTTATATCTGAGATACCATTTGTGTGATATGCATATGATAATGCAATCACCGGAACGACCTATTTTACAGCACATAAACAATTTTACATATAAATTATTTATTATAGTTGCACACAGCCACAGTCTTAATATTATGATTAACTTATAGTAGAATCTGACTTGATAGCTTTTTGTGTGGCCATAAATGAAATTATAATATTAAAATAGTCAACGAGGATTTCGTTAAAGGAACTTGCATGAACTTCATTGAATGTCTTCATATTGTAATGTCCAAGCATGATGAAAATCTTCGAAAACAGCAGCCTTGTAACTTGAATTGCTGATAACATTAGCATTACATTTATGAATTTGGAAACATGTCTTATCCTCACTTCATGCAGTTAGAAATTTATCAAAGCTTCCAATGCCAATTAATTTCTGTTAAAATATGTCATACTTCGTATTCCATCCAAAGTGATAATGTGTTAATGAGTTGAAGAAACGAATACAAATCCTTTAATATCCTTACATTGAAATCCTTTTGTGTCATAGCATATAAATCCTTTTCTATAATTCAATCATAAGCCATTACAAATTTTCTTTGTCGCCTAGAATATTGATTCGCCCACAATATAATTGCTTTACTTTTGGGCAGTGCCTTAATGCATAAGGCAATTATTTCCACATCAAAATTGTGTCCTGTTAGGTAATAATGCATATGAAAGATAGCAGGAAATCAGTGTCCAGGTATCGCATGCTTACATAAAATTACAATTAAAATGTCAACTGGAAATACTGTAAAGTAATCCATCCAATGATTGCAATAATTAAGTTATGTATAATAAATTTCATTTGTGTTTGGTGTGCATTAAACATTATTATTTAAATATATTTTAAATCACTTACATATAAATAAACAATTTAAAATTTAATTAAGTTATAGTTTACTTTATTTTTATTATTTTATCTTTTATGGAAATTTTTTACATGACACATTTGAATTCCTTTGGTAGTTTCTGTTTTGAACACAGACTAAAAGCGACACAGAGAAAAGGAATTGATTTATATATGGTAATTACATATTCAATTTATAATTACCATAAAGTTTATATGTATAACTTAGATTTAGTTAAATTTAATTAAAAAAACTATATGAAAAAGTAGACGGACTACTGACTTCCAATGGACAGGGATACTGTGACTGTGATTGATCTTTTGTAAACCATATTATCTTTTGTAAATATTAAGATTATGGATTTAAATTGACACAATAAATTATAAAATAATAAATAGAGTTATTAAATCCAGATTATCTCAGTCACTACCTACTTTTGGTTGTTCTGTTTGATAGATCAGTGACTTTACCAGATCCTATATTTATTTGATATATATAGGAATCGCAATACTTTACGGTCGTAAAACCATTGATGACCAATATTCTGTACTCTTGGATATATGCAATTCGCAGAAGGAATCGGATCTCTTAAGATTCACTAAAAACATAAACCATAATTCATTCTGTAACTATAGATATATGCAATATTAAGAAAAGAGCAGTTCTTTTAAGATTCACTAACAACATAAATCTCAAGCGATTTTGTTTTTGTTCCTTAGTACCTCTGAGTATAGTATAAGCAATCACTCATGCAGATATATAGTTACAGTAACAAATCGCCATAATTTGGTTAGAAAGGCCGAGATCTATAATCATACACACACCATAACAATTTAAAGCCTATTATCTTACTGCTCACATGGATTGAGTTTTTCAATTCTTATAGTCTTGTGATTGGATTAAATAGTTTGTATTTCGAAATATTGAGAATAACAGCAGAAGTTTGAGTTTATCATAATGAACGATATACACTTTTTATTATCTGTTAAAGATATATTTGTCTGGAAATAAATTTTAACTTTGAAAACACTAAGGTGTGCTATTAAAGTATCTTAAATTACAAAACTAACATATATATAGGTTGAACTTTTGAGAAAAAAAGTTAGTTCACTTACTCACTGAGAACTGTCTTATGTAGTATAAGTCTACTGTAAAGTAATAGTTTATTTATTACAATAAGTAGTTTAAAATTCGTAAAGAAGCAGTTTATTTACTACAGTGAGTAGTTCAAAATTTATATATGTGAACATATTGCCACAGTGAGGCTGAACGTATTTGAATCGCATATAATTTGGATGTGAAAGTAGTTAGCTTTCTAAGACAAATATCTCTATTAGATGATCCATGTTAATAGCACTATTGTGGACACAGTTTTGATGTGATATGATTTTTTACAAACCAAATTCAGCTGGTATGTGTTATCATGGAAAAGCACTTGTACCAGTTAGATATCAGTTAGAAGAAAAATAATGACTCGTGCCCATACTTCCAAATTAAAAAAATTTTTTAAATAGAACAGATACGCACTTAACAGCAAAGACTAGAATAAATGATAGTATATCTCTGGTCACCTTTTTTTGGGATCCATAAGAAACTTATTAATTAAGATTTAAGATTTTGTACTTGGATCAATTGAAAAAATATTTAATTTTTATTTTAGTATGAAACTAAGTCTATTCATTATCTTTCATATAGCTTGTAACTGTTCTTTTATATTTTACTTATATTTATATTTTAAATAAAAATTTTATTGAAATATTAGTGTTGCTGAAAAAGTTACGCTTTTTTATATGGCAAAGAAGCTATATACAAATTTAGTGCAAACAAATTATATACGGACTATAAACTAATTAAAAAAATTCGATTAATCCCTAAGACCACTGATGATGAGTACTTGGCAATACTCAAATCAAAGTTGTATGGTGAGCCAAATTTCATTAAAATTAAATAAATGTTTGTGTTTGTTCTTTCTTTCTTTCTTTGCTATTCGAAAACCCTTTAAAATTTTTATCATAAAAAAAATTATGAAACTTCCGAGAGAATATATACAGCTCAAGCTTTACGTTTGGAAGTTCAACTCTTAGTACTCGTATTCTCAAAAATTATTTATGTATAATAAAATTTAATAAATAACTCGAAAAGACCACTGATGATGGATACTTAATAAAATTTTAATAAATAAAAAAATAATAAAAAATGTTTGTTGTTGCATTTCATTACTGTTCAAAAGCTCTCTATTTACGAGAGCTTTTTATTAAGCTCTCTATTCAATATAAAAAATAATTCAAAAGACCAATGATAATGGGTATTTGGCAATACTCGAAACAGCTGTTTCAAAAAATTTAATTAATTAAATAATAAAATTTTATTGTAATAATTCACTACTGTTCGCAAATGCTCTCTATAAATTGTATATAAAAAATGTGTAAAAATATTATATAAAAACAAAGTTTTTAATAACTAAAAATATATACGAAAAAAATTAATATTTTATTTTATTTTCACAGTTTTATATTTTTTTAATTAATGTTATATAAAAAATTTATATATTTTTATTATAAGTACAAAATATATAAATTATGTTTTAATATAATAAAAAAATATTACTTATTTATTTGTTATAATATAATTTAAAATTTATTAAAAAATATATCAACATTTTTATTTATTTTCATAGATTTAATTTATTTTTTTACATATATATAGATATAGTATCATAAGATTTAGTCTTTTTCTATTTACAGAATCTTTAAATTATTTTTATAAACGAAGAATGCACAAAAATCTTATATAAAAATATTTATTATATCATTTATATTTATTTATGCATTCCTTTTTTTTTTAATTTAAAAATATTTAATTAAAAAGTTCCTTTTGTAAAACCACAGCTTCAGTTTCATATCACAAAATGGTTTTTAAACTCAAACTTTCCGTTAACAGATCCTTGCGTGCAGTCGACATAGTCAATAAACATGCGAAAGGACATTTATTCCTTGCAGAAAAAGAAATAAAGGCGAAAAAAGCCTTTCACTTGTCTTGTTGTATTTATTCATGGAATTGTGTGTGTGTGTGTGTGTGAGTGTTTCCTTTTTTTTCTGCTGCTTGTGTTTTGCGCTGCTTGAATTGATTCGATTTCGCTGCGGGCGATATAATGAAGTGTCAAATGCTGTATTTATCGGCCTAAACAACAATGGGTGAGGTGGCAGGAAGTTAGTGTCCTGCCTTATTCATTCCGTCAGTTTTTATTTGATTTTTGCAGTGTATTCAGTTTGCTACTTTATTTGTTGGTACATTGTATTAGTAAAATTTCTTTTCTCCGTTTTGTATTAAACAATTTTTTCCCTGTTAAGTTTTCCGGCTTCAGGTTCTCTTTGTATAAGTTCTGTTGTGTATGTGAGGCTTTTATTTGTATAAATTTTTTCTTGCCCTTGACAGTTTTTACAACATATAAAGATGTCAACACGTGCCTTTTGTGATATGTTGCCGTAGATTTTGTTGTTACTGAAGCCGTTGTCATAGCCTTTGTCAATAGTTTCCACGTTATTTGTGTTATTGTTGTTGTCAATTGTCAATTGATTATATTAATGACATAATGAACAAATAATGGGGTCACAAAAGGATTTGATAAGTGATAAAAGATATTGTATAAATTTCGAATAATAATGGAAATGTGTGAAATTTGGCTTCTAAAATTAGTAAGAATACATGTAAATATAAAGATATAATATTATGAATAAATATAAATACAAATATACTTTAGAAAAGAAGAGTGAGAACAAATAAAAAAAGGTGATAAATAAAATGATTGAAATTTAATTAATTCGAGTAAAAAAAAATTTGATTAAACAGCTTTTAATAATTTTATATTGCTTTAAGTGTCCTTACATAAATTTATTTTAATTAAAAATAAAAATAAAATAATTCAACGTATGTTTAACATATTTAAATACATTCCATATCTCCACTCTCCTCGAGAGTCATCATCAGGATCACTATCTAACATAAATCAGCATCACTAAAACGATATCTATGTCAACCTCTTTATTGTGTTGTATATATTGCAATAGAATATATCTGTATTGCACTATAGTGGAATATAGAATCGAAATATAGAACGTATTACGATATATTAAACAAACGTTGAATTATTTAACAGAAAGTGACCTATAGCAAAATAAAAAATAT